AGCAGGAGAGCTGCACAGTCCACACTGCTCAGTCTACTCCAGAGAGAGGTAAATATAACTGAAGTGGAAGACTTCTGCAGCTACGTTATTTTACAATCTTTTGTAGAAGCTCCCATTGCTGAAGAATTTCCTGCTAGGGCTTGCAGCTTGGGGAACTGGTTATGGACCCAAGCCAAATGGAATCATACTTGTTAGCCTTCTTGCAACAAATGCCCTCTGTTAGATTAACTATTAGCCTCAGACACCCAAAAAGTTCTGTTCCACGGCCTCTAAAGCCAGAACTAAGCCAGTGCTCAAACATGGGCACCCCTGTTTTTAAGGAGAAAGAAAGGTTTGGGTTTTTTGGGGTGGGGCTTTTTTTGTTTGTGTTTTTTTTTTTTTAGTACTTACAGATGAGGCACTGAAAAGGTCTGGTTTAGCTTGACTTTCAAACAGACCATCAGCTGGCAGCACACTTTGTCGGGGAACAGGCTTTGGTAGTTCTAAGGAAAAGAGACATAATGTTATAATCACTTAACAACTTTAACAAGTACTCAGCTCTGCCTGTATAGCAGCACCAAAGCTCATCTTATTAGATACACAAAAACCCACACAGAAGTTGCTTTGAATGCTCACAATTTTATCTCCTGCTTATCCCTCACTATACTTAACCTAGATGGGACTTCTAACATTGTACAGACCTAGTTTAGCTCATTCTAGTCAAATAGGTTAGGCACTAGGTGTCAGTGTTTGGCCACTGACATTGATCAATTCTGTAATATTATTAGGGGAGACAGTCCTTCAACCCTCTGTTTTAAGTAACCATTAAATCAAACTTTCAGTTCTATCAGAAAAGACTAGTGATTAGCCATTCCAAACCCTCAGCAGCTATCCAGCAGAAGAAAAAAGATTTTACCAGTCATTTTGGCAGACAGCTTGCTAGCTTCCATGTCATCATGATCTGTACTATCTTGAGGAATGCCTACTTTACTACTAAAGTAATTGCTGAAAGCTCCAGAAGCACCTGAAAGGCTTTGCTGCTCTCCTCTCCTTGCTGGTACTGCAGGTGGCTTTGTCAGCTGGAAGTCTTTGAACATTTCCTTGACATCCTTCATCTCTTTATCACCAAGTGGATCCAGAGCAATAAAAGCATCACTCTCTTTCTTGGATAGCTCCTTCTGAGGTGCAGTTCTAGGTGGTGGCAGAGGTGGGCTAGTTGTTGTTGACATGGAGGGCAGTACAGATGGCGTCTGAGCAGGTAGTGTTGAAGATGGGAACACACTACTCTGGAAGGGATTTACAGCACTGGATGGCTGCGCCCATGAACTAGATGGAACTTGTGCTGCCTGTGCCCAGAGACCAGAGGACTGAGGGGCTGCTGGGCCAAAAGATTGAGGCTGGTTCCAGCTTGGCACTGCTTGAGTACCAAAGGCAAGTGGTTGAGTAAATCCTGTAGGCTGAGCAGGCATCACAGACCCAGGAAAGACTGGTGTCTGTGCACTCCATGGTGATGAAGTTACTGGCAAGCCACCTGGGAGGGGAAGATTGTTGTTACACAGCACTTCAGTGATCTGAAGACCTCAAGCAGGAGTGTATCAATTCCACTGAGGGTACCAGCAAAATATTTCCACTGAGGGTACCAGCAAAATATTTTTTCATGTACTGTCTGCAAAAATCTGATTTACACTTAATAATCAAGTCATTTAGGGGGGGAGGGAAGAAGGGGTTTAACACGTTTTACTTTGTTCCATTTCAGTCCTGGAAGAACAGAATTGAGGTTGATATAACAGAAGAGGGAACATATTTAGTCCTAGCACAGAAGTGATAGATGAATTCGCCATATAGTTACTTCTGTGTAAATGATTATTAAGGCTCTGCAGCAGTGTTACCCTAGCCTCCCAAGTTGTGCTTGAACCTTGTGTACCTGAAGCAGCAATCTGCTGTCAAAGTTTAAGCAAAAAACCCTGTTCCAGTTAAGGATGCAGAACTTAATAGTTTAGGGCAGACAGCACATGGATTAAAGGGCATGGCACTATACGAGGTGTAGTGGAAAGGAAACTAGAACCCCATTTTGGTGTTAGCAGATATCTTAGACTGAAGCAAGACCTTCACTTTGTGAACTAACCTAGACCAGCCAGTGGAGGTGCTGTGGTAGGACTTGTTTTGAAGAGGTCCAGTGGACTAGTTGGCACAGGTCCTGTCTGTACCACTGAGGTCAAGCTAAGGCTCTCTGTAATCGGCACAAAGAAGTCTGAGCTAAATAAGTCATTCGATGCAGTCTAGAAAGAAAAAAAAGCTTTGTGAGATGGCATGGCAGAACACATGCTAGCATGATCAAGACTCCCTAGTACAGAGCTACAAGCTTTTATTTCAGCTAGAGCAGAGCAGGAGCTTTGATGTATCCTTTAGAGACCAAGTATAAGAGTTTCAAACTTTACCATGTAATGCATGGCATTAAGTAGGTATAATATATAGTAGTCACAAGTCAATAGCAGAAGAATAAGGCTTAGATAAAGTGACTGAATTATTTGCTATCATAATGAGCCCTTTGTCCCCCACCCCCTAAACATTCCTACTCAGTCTGCAGTGACCCCTGCAGTTGTGGCAAGGTCAGCAACAGAGTTTTGCATGATTTGAGTGCAAGACAAACGCAGCTGACCCAGAGCCACCCTGTGCCTAATCAGGCAAGTCATTGAGGTTACCCTCAGTAGGCAGGTACTGAGAAACTACATAGGTTTCTGTAAACTAGTATTAGTACCTCATTGTTACGAAACCACAGGCTGATGGGCATACAGCTATCATAACAGGTTCTGGCATTATATCAAGTGTCAATATACACAGCAGCATACTTACCAGACCTTTACAGAAGTATGGCAGCATTAAGGAAAAAAGTATATAATTTAGTGACCATAGCTACTATGAAGCATTCATGAATGTTAGAATGTACCATAGCTGCAGAGAGGTTAGAGTAAGCATGGCAGGTAGAAGAGAAGTACATGTGTTGTGAAGCTGTTTAGCCAGTATGAAGAAAGAAACGCTTCCTTCACCAGCTTCTGTAAGTAAGAGCATGCATATCACCATTAATTACTTGAACATTGTTCACCTTGACAGACCTCCTTCCTCTTCCTGGCTTGGTACTTTGTGGTGGTGGGCTAATTGTTATAGACTCATGTGACATGAACGGGATATTGCTTTCAGAATCCAGCTTTACTCCATTCTGCAGAGATACTCCTTTGGAAGGACCTTCCACAAACAGGTTTGACGGGGCTTTAAGAAAACCATTCTGTTCTCTCTCCGGTACCCCATTTGGGGTTCTTGCTGCAGGCAACTTACTCTCAGGTGGCCACTGGCTTGTTAGTGCTTCTCGTTTGCCAGTTCTATTAGAAATCTGGTCAAACTGTTTACCAAAGTAGTCAATATCACCATTTGAAGCACCATTACCCACCGATGTCAAGGTACTCAGACTTTCCTTCTTCTGATCAGCAGATTTTAGAGAATCAAATGAAGGCAGTGCAGATTGGTCTGGCTGTGAGAAAGGATCATCACTGAAAGGGTCTGGATTAGGTGTAGGAAAGAAGCTGAGATTGGTAGAGAAAGAACTCTCAGGCAAGAAGGGTGGCTGTGGCTTTGGTTGTGGAAGAGAGGTTGTGATGCCATTCAAGAAGAGATCCTCTTTTGTAAAAGTCTGTTTGGTCTCAATTTCAGAATTTAGATCCACTAACAGAATCTCTTTAGCTTCCTATTTGTTCAGAAAGAAAAATAAAGTTAGTTTTATGTAGGACTTGCTGCATAGTACACAGGCTCAAGGAAAACAGCTACAAAAGGAGAAATCCTAGTATCCAATACATTATACTAGTAAGTATTCAATGTCACAGTGAAGTTGCACTAAAGCTTCATCTTGTAAGTCATTAAGGCAAGCACTGCTGGCTGTGGTCAAATCACAGCTACTTAGTTTCAGAAACTCAATGTTAAAAGCACCTGCTTTAAGATCCTTTGGTTAAATATCAAATGCTTGTTATACAGCCTAGAGACTGTAGAGTCATTAAGCACTAATTACACCTAGACTTTCACTTGAGTCAAGAACCCTGTTTGAGTTCTAGTCATTTATTTTGACAAGTTGTGAAATCACACTGCCTTAGTGCGACTTCAAGTTGCAGTCTTAGCTTTGGAGTAAGATTAGAGAGCTATTTGCCAGTGGAAAATGTTAACATGCCATCTTCTCCACCAAGCATGTAGTGGAAGGGTAGGACTTGGTCACTAGCTAGACTGATAGCATCAATTGTATTGTGGCTAATGGTGGCTTACAGTGCCAGAATAAACCAGTAAGATTTCAGGGGTCATACTGAGCTATGACAAGGTTTATGCACACTTTTGTGGAGTTAAGCCACATCTTGAGCTGGGGCTACTTATCTAGAATGGCCAGGAGTCCACTCTGAGGGACTTACTTAAGGACTCACTTGTCCATAAAATGAGCTTCAGATTTAAAGGTCTTTAGCAGAGTTTCTGTAATAGGTCTCATAGCAGCAGAGGCATGTACTGCTAGTACATATTTCTAGGACATTTAACTAGAGAGGTGGACCCATGCAAACTTCATGAAGCTCAACAAGGCCAAGTGCAAGGTCCTGCACCTGGGTGAGGGCAATCCCAAACATGGACACAGGCTGGGTGATGAGTGGATTGAAAGCAGCCCTGTGGATAAGCAGCTGGGGGTAATTGGTGGATGGAAAACTGAGTATGAGCCAGCAATATGTGCTCACAGCCCAGAAAGCCAACCACATCCTGGGCTGCATTAAAAGAAACATGGCCAGCAGGTCAAGGGAGGTGACTCTCCCCCTCTATTCTGCTCTCGTGAGACCCTACCTGGAGTACTGTGTTCAGCTCCAGGGCCCCCAGCATAAGAAAGACATGGGCCTGCTTAAGCAGGTCCAGAGGTGAGCCACAAAGATGATCTGGAGGGGGCTGGAGCACCTCTTCTATGAGGACAAGCTGAGAGAATTGGGGTTGTTTAGCATAAAGAGAAGAGAGGGCACCAGGGAGACCTTATAGCAGCCTTCCAGTACTTAAAGGGGGCCTACAGGAAAGCTGGGGAGAGACTCCCCATAGTGATAGGACAAGAGGTTATAGTTTTAAACTGAAAGATGGTAGATTTAGATTAGATATTAGGAAGAAATTCTTTACTGTGAGGGTGGTGAGGCACTGGAAGAGGTCACCCAGAGAAGTTATGGATGTCCCCTCCCTGAAAGTGTTCAAGGCCAGGCTGGATAGAGCTTTGAGCAACCTGATCTAGGGAAAGGTGTCTCTGCCCATGGGAGGGGGGTTGGAACTAGATGATCTTTAAGGTCCCTTCCAACCCAAACCCATTCTATGATTCTGTGACTAATAATACAGTATCATCCCTGTCATGCAGTCTCGAGTGAACTCTGCTGGATAAGAATGACATTAGCTACTAGTAAGTAGATACTATTATAGCCCTAAGACACTAGTACGCTGATGATAGCTAGACAGATGTCTCAGTGAAACCAGAAACCAGGACTAACAAAGTAAAAACAGATCTTATTACTAGGGCTAAGTTTGCTCTCAAAGCGAGAGCTAAGACAGCTAAGCTAGATTCTACTTACTGTGGGACTGCTCATATCAGGAGGTGTTGACATATCCCCAAACAAGTCCATCTGGTCAACTCCCTTGAAGCCAGAAATATTGAAAGAATTAGTATCTGTTAGAGTTCTTGCAAGAGCAAGAATCAAGCATTATGCAGATCTACTGTAAACACATCTATAAATTCTGCATTTCCCACACAATGTGGAGACAGTCAGTTATGAACTCCTTAATGGCATCAGCATAAAATTCTAAGATTTAACCTACCAGTTTCATTTTGTCAGCTTGATCAGCAGGTAATGCTTCGCTACCATTCTGTAATAGATGGATAACAGTGTCAGCAATAATTGGAATATCAAAGCTTGCCTTAAGCAAGGGACTTGTAGCCTTCAAAGAGCAGGTGATGGAAAGAGGAAGTATGAGGGAGTTCACTACTCAGTATTAGTTCTGTAGGCCCCTTTTACTCCCATTTCAATGTAATTGGGCTTCTGACATTGCCTCTGTAATGCTGACAGTGTAAAGGAAGTCAAAGCTGGTTGTGTTGCAGCAGTATACCTAATCAAGTGAGGCTGAGTTGGAGTGACTTACCTCAGTCTTACTTGTTTCTTCACTCTAAAGAAGAAAAGAAGGCTTTTAATACCTAGACATCATGTAGAATATCCAAAGCCTCTCACTTTGGAGAGCTTACCAGATCTAGGAGGTAATTAAACTGCTGGTACAACTACCAACCAATAGCTTCAAGTGATCCTGGACTTAGACAGACCTCAGTGTCAAGTCTTATAAGAGGCCAAAAGCCAAGCCAAAGCCTGGCAAGTCAAGCAAGCTTTATTTCTATGCAGATTAATGCAGTTTCTGTAATTTTACTCGCCTTTTTCTTGTCTTCTTCTTCCTTCTTCTTCATATTATATATTAGTTGGAAGAGGTCCTTAAGATCAACAACTAGAGGCTCAGCCTGAAAAAGAATGTAGATTTTAGGCCATGTACTACTTCATAGCTTGCTTCAGTAGAAGTCCGGGGAGCAGCAAGCCAAACTTTCCTAAATGGTGCAATAGTAAGGTTGAGATAACAGGAAAAGCAAGAGTTTAAAGGACTGCCTAGTCTCTACACAAGAGAGCTTACGCAGAATCCAAGGGTAATGGGGCACAACCAGCTTAGAACTCTTGTTAACTCCACAGGGAAAGTGGCTGTATTTGTGCTAAGCCTGCTATGTTTTTGCTAAACAGCTTGTAGCGCAAGATTTTGTAAGTGCATGGCAAGTCCTAATCATATTTCCTCAAAAGTGCAAAGTTTATCCAGGCTCTCTGGTAGTTTCATGAGAGGAAAACATTTTGCACCTGTCTGTTTTCTACCAACTCCAACCTGGATAAAGCTTCTATAGCTAATACGACATTTACTTTAAACAGGATGCAAATAGTAAATCAGCAAGGCAAGCATAAGAGAAGATTATCATCACCTCAAATCTGTAGAGCAGACACTAGCTTTAAGTGGTATCTCTACCAGGATGAAAATTAAGTGTGAATTAGAAAGGCACTGCATTCTCTGCACACCCATTAACCAGAATGTTTTGAGTGGTTGCGGAGATGGTGGCAGCTTCAGCTATACTGATTTGGAATTTTTGCTTGAGGCATATAGCAGCTGTGATTGTGTCTAGAGCAGGACAAGTCCCCCTGTTCAGCCACTACCTTTGGCTCAGAGAATATGTTGAGCAGATCTCACTGTTTACGTCTGAGCATCATCCTCTCCTAATCAAGAGTTTTAGACATGCAACTGCAGGAAAAGCCATTTCAAGAGTTATCAACTTTAACAAACAGTACAGCTGCAGCAGTCTAGAGCTGCAGAAGTCCTTACTTCTCAGCTAGACAAGTTTGTATCAAAAACAACTAGCAGCAAGTCAAGAGCTGTCTACAGCTTGGCTAAGCTTATAGGCTGGCAAGCAGCACCCCACGGTGAAAAGCTCTGAGAGAACAGACTCCACTCCAGAGCACACACAGAAGGCTTTTGTACTTAATCTACAATTCCAGTGAAACCAGCACAACACAGGACTCTGATAAACTAATAAAACAGGCTTAGGAGAGGGTATTACAGCTGTTACTAAAGTAGTAACATGCTCCAACAAGGAGCCCCTCAGTCCCACCTGTAGTGCATCTGAAGCTACCAACAGTTCTCCAGGAGGGCAGGCAGGGATGTGTATGAAGAAATTACTCACTTTGCATTACTAGCTTGACTTTGGCTCGTCAAGTCATTATAGTGACTACTATAAAGACATTATAATGACAAGCTAATAAGTGATAAATACCTAACTTAAGTTCAGGTCATTTAGAAAGCTGCATAACACTCAGCAGTAATTCTAAGTAGCTTGTTTACAATACTGCTTATGTACAGATTCCCTTCAGAGAGACAAACCCTGCACACAGGATTTCTGCAAGGGGAAAACTTATCACAGAAGGATCAGAATTCCTCCCAGAAGTAACTCTAGGAAGACCAGACCTGCCATTCACTGGCTCCAGAAACACTATTACAATTGAGTAAGTCTGTTTTCACTGCTGCACAGGACAAAGCATCATGAGAACTAGACTAGTGGAGTTCTAACATCATTCCTGTTAATTCTGAGTGAAGCTCTGGCTATTTGACTCAAGAATTATCATTCTCACTGACAGTAACAGGCCACTGTACAGGAAAGCCCATGATAATGACTCTGTTCATCTCACTAATATCTTCCATGGTGCATGGACATGTTAAGTAAGGTTAATCATAGTAAGCAAGGCTACTTCAGTGTTTTTATCCAGGACTACAGAAAAGCTGGACGAGATAAGAGCCATTGGTGATACAATCAATTCATACAGCCCTCCTCTAGGAGAAGAACCTATCTATCTGTGCTGGTATTCCCCTATACCTCATAGAGCTATCAGCAAAACTACACCCTTATCACCTGTTAAGTGTTTATACAATAGCATGACTCATAGCAAGTTGAAAAGGGTGTCTGATCCATACCTGTTGTGCTGTTTTTATGGCAAAAAATTGGTGCTGGCCTTCTCCACCACAAATATAGCCAAAGGCACGATTGTCTGTTACATCCCGAGCAATAAAGGAGATTTTGTTTACTGGATGCTCATGCTCTATGACCTAGAATTGGGGAAAAAAAAAATCTACTGGTTTAAATTGCTGGAGACATAATAGCTGCTCTTCTCTGTAATTAGAATGTTTGAGACTGTTAGAAAGCTTCAGTTCAAGACTCAGATTTATCAGTCTGACTAACCAGAATAGGATGTAGCTATCTTTCTGGCAGGAGGCTTCAGCATTACAACCCATTTCACAAGCCAATTTTTATATGTGGAAGGGGGGCACAATGCTATTAAGGAATCTAGTTCAGATTGGTCTAACTTCCAAGTGCCTCACATAAAGAGAATAAGTCATATATTACCCCAGTCTTCTCATCTATTATCTTGATACCAGAGAGGGAGATGTTCACCCAGATCTTCTGTTTGTGTTGACCCTGGGAACGGGCTGCCACTGCCATTCCCTGAAGAGGATGAATATAAAAGTATTGATGAGACTTCTGTTAGATTGAGTTTTAATTTGTTTCCTTACATTCCTCATGAGCCCATGGCTATGACTGTACTAGTGCTAATCTAGTTATTCCTACGCAATTGTACAGCTAAAGCAACCTTCCTCTTGCAACATATCCTTGACTAAGTTTGAAGTGATACCTCAGAACTAGATTGCATTTCCTCTTTAAAGGTTTTGGAGCTTTAAAACTTCCTATCTTAGTTCACAAAACTGCTGCAGTAGCAGGATCTTTACCAGCTTTCCTGGCCTGATTGAAGCTATGAGTGTTCTGCACTCCGGAAGTAATAATCTTTGTTGCTGCAGGGTCTCATTTATTCTTTGGCTTATCTATATCTCTTGGTGTCACTATTGCCACAGGATGCCAACTTGTGCTTTGAGTTCAGTGTTGAATTGCACAGAGTTCCCCCCTCCCCAGCCAAAACCCAAGCTCACTATTTGTGATCAAGTTCATACTATTAGCATCCATACTGGATGCCTACAAGAGACCCAAAGGAGCGTTCCCAAGCTATTAGAGAAACACTGTTCTTTGAGCAAGGGGTTACAGTTTTAGAAGTAACATCTGTCTAGGATGATGCTGTTATTACTATGTTATCATTAAGCCATATTTGAAGTTATGCCAAAGTGACCATTTGATCTGCTTTTTGAAGGCTACCCAGAAGTTGTTCGTTACATGCTATCTCAAGCCCTTACCTTCAGTTTCATCATTGAATCCTGACTCATTTTGTCTCCTCTTGCCTCTGAGACATCATCAATGCCAATCAGTTTAGCTTTGTATCTTACACCATCACCTTTGAATCTGGCCAAGAGAGATTCATCTGTCTTTTCTGGCCCTGGAGACAGAGAAAAGTGGTCATCTTTTTTTTTTTAAGAAAGAAATGTCTATGTTGTGGCTTTGAGATCTTTAAAAAAAAATACTATGTAAGTACATATTAAAACTGTCCCTTGAGAATAGCTGACTAAATCCCTAGTCCTTCCAGTACTGTGTGCACTGCAAGATAGTTACTCCTTTAAGGTCACAGTGCTCTTGCAGAATCTGGCCTGAGTTCAAGGAGTGGAGCCCAGTGCCTAATATTTGGGGACTTCAGAACAATTGTTTGCTCCATAAAAGGCTGAAATATTTTTAGGCAACAGCCAAGTAGATATAAGTGCTAAGCAAAACCACCAAGCAGACATGGTACTTTCCATGGCCATACAGGATGTTTAGTGAGCCTTTCAGATGGCTTACTACTACACCTAGTTCTGGTGTAGTTAGATCTCTTCTTGGCGTGCAAGAATCTTCTAGTTCCTGTGCTATAACTTTCTATTAGCACCATCATTTCTACAACAAGTCATGGTACCCCTGTCCCTGTAATCACTTGGGATTTTAGCTATATTTGCTATTTCTGCTGTTCCCACTACTTCTCAGAACTGCTTGATTTTCTTCTCTGCATGCTCATCAAACTCCAAGTGTGTACCTAGGTATGTATTTCTGTATGAGATAATTATATTTACATGACCTAATCTATAAAAAATTTATTATCTGATCTACAGTAACTCTCATTAATTCTCATTTAATGAGTTTTTAGCTTCTCTGGACCAGAATCTGTATCTGTGTCCAGCACATCACTCCCTCTCTGGAGGGAGGGGAGGAAGTGAGTTCAGGTTCAGACTGACAGCTACCTGGATGATCCTGGGTCTGGTCACCTCCTCAGGAGGTTCTCATTTCTCTGGGCTTTTGGTGACTTGTCAGGTTCAGCAAATGAGCCATTTAACAAGTGGAACTGAGAGCTTTAGAACTTAAAGCTAGAAAAAAAACCCCTTTCAAGCTAAAAGCCTACCTTCTGGTTAGATTTATTTTACTAGCTTATTTACTCACTATTCCAGTCAGCGTGAAACCTTGGAGTTATTTTAACTATGCTCTGTGTGATCTTAGTTTTAAGTAAGTGCAAAATATTAAGGACACTGACTAGAGGATGTGTTCAAGAGGTAAGCATTTCTTACCTTTCTTTTTTTCCTTCTTTGAAGGTTGTGCTTTTGGTGGAGCCTGTTGCTCAGGCTGGCTGTTGATAGTAGTAGTTTCAGCTTCAGTAGACATGATGAGATGGTGGTCAGCTATGCTTGCTGTAGTTTTTAAAAATCCAAATAACAATCAGTAGGCAGACATAGTATTTTACCTTGAAGAAGAAATATTCTTATTAGACTTGTTAGTCCAGTTTTGTTCTGCTGAACACTGAAGCCCACTAATGCCTGAAAGTTTTAGTAGTGATCATACAGGAATTCTGACTCACTGTCTGTTCGTCTCAGACTACAGAGAGCATGAAGTTATGGCCGCTAGGTTATGAACCCTCACCTCAGTAATACCTAATCAGTAGATCACACTGACCTACATCCACAGGCTGTACTTGCATCACCCTGTTTTAATCTGTCAACCTTTAGCTTTTTACCCTTTAAAGCTATTTATAGAACCTGCATCTCTGTAGCAGGACAGGAAAGAATGCAAGAAACATTTGCTAGGATCTGTTCCAAACACCCATGAAGATGACACCAGAACACCCAAAAGAAGCCACTAGATCTTATTCATGTTTCTGTAACTAGTGGAAGTCTGAGGTTATAGCACCCAACAGGTAAAAGCAAATAAAATCCTTAGGCTGCAGACAGATTATTCCAGGAAAAAAACACAACAAAATCCCAAACCAAAGCCCCACACCCTTGTCTTAATAATCAAGTAACCTTAGTTTGGTTTTTTTTTTTAAAAAAAAAAACAAACCTGCAAGTTAACAGAAACTACAGACTGGTATGACTTAACTCTATGCCATGAGACCCTTTTGCCTCCCAGATACAAGATACATTAAAAAAAAATCTGCAGTCACCATGTTTTGCTCTTACATAGCTGAAGCATTGATTCACACTTACCAAACAGAGGGACTCGTATTGTCTTTATGGAGTTCTGAAGATCATCTATACCCAGCCAGAAAGAACTGGACATTCACATCTGGTACAGAAACTGTTCTATGAATCTTCTGTCGGGGGTATTGCAGTGGCTTCAGTTAGTTCCTTGAATTTTATGGTGACAAATGAAGCCAAGAGATTGTTTAGATGATTAAGCAGCTGGGCTACCCTCTGCTAGTAGTTTTCCCTATATCCAGGCAAGTGGCCACAGACCAAGCCACCCCTTTTATCCAGCACACCATTTGAGACATACTATGTACCTAGATACAAGTGCTGAAGCATTGCATATCCTCTAGCATTAGAAGCTTGTAATTCTCAATAGCCTATTCCTCATTTGCCTTAGTTTCAGCTAATGCTTTATCTACTACTTGGAAATTACTTTCATGGTCTTGCTCTCACTCCTGCCTTCCCCTCTTCCCTCAATTCATTACTAAGTCAATAGCTACAGACTGACTCATCCAGCTTGCCTCTAACAGAGTAATGGATGTCAAGGCTTAACTAATTCTTAACCTAGGAAGAACATAAATTCCTAGGTCTTTAAGAGAGAATTCCACCTTGAAGGCCTCCATTTCCATTTAGCCAGGAGGGAGGCCTTTAGGGAACGAGCTGTTAATATAAGCAAAGTTAGATCTAGCTGCTTACCAGATGGTTTGTGAATTGCATTTAGTATTGCTCAAGTAAATCTGAGATAAAAGTGCTCATATGGGGAAGATCTTTGGCAGCTATACCTGTTCCCCTCTGTAAGCAACTTATTTGGCCACAGCTAGGGAACATTTGATGCAAGGGAACAAAGGTGTTGCTGTGAAAATTTCAAGTGGTTCTGAGTAGAAATAGATGTTAGAGGAAGAGTTGGTATAGCAAGCCATGGTTATTTAGGAAATGTTATCAGTGGAGGAGTGGCTTGTGTGCCCATTCTGACAAAGGAGAAAGGGGGAATTTTTACAACCAACAGGGATTTTGCAGGATACTTGCACCAGTGCTAAAAAGGAGCGTGCCCATTTAAGACCACACATTAAGCAGGTAAAATGAAGCCAACTGAATTCTACTCTAAAACTAGACTAGCTTGCCTAATGGTATAATTTTGGGTGGAGAGTCTTTAGACTTCAGCATAATAAGCCTCTCCCTAGATTTATCAAGTCCTTCAGACATAGAGAGGAAGGAAAGTCAGAGTTAAGGTTGAATCATTGGTTAACCACCCACCCCCATCTGGAAGATTACTGTTTAGAGAACACAAAGAAAAGGCCTGGAGAAGAACAGAGCTAAGACACGCTCTCTAAGAGCCTAAGAGCTGAGTCATAGCTTTAGGACATTCTGCCCAGCTCCATGCTGGAAAGAAGAAATAGCAACTTCGAGGCACTGAGTCCTGCCTGTCAGTGATCCTGCTTCCTCAGTTTAATTGGTAGAGTTACACCCAGCTCTGCTGTAATACAACCACAGTAAGTACCTCACTCTGAAGTAAAGGTAAGAGGCAATAACAAGAAAATAACCTAGGGAGGAGCAAATATGCACAAGCAAGACTTCACTTTGGCAACTGTAAAGTGGTAGAAATCGAGATGGGCAGCTCCATCTTTAAACTCTAGTCACCCCTCCATTACTGCCATCTGCCTCCATCCTATGGAAGCCAGATCACTTACTTGCATAGAGCCAGACAGCACAAAAACCCAAGGTGGAGGAAGATGGGCAGGGATACACACAAGTCTGGCTGAACCCTTGCAAATACCCCTGCCTTACTATGGAGAAGCTCATTCTCAGTGTTAGCAATGCAATTTGAGAAGGTTAGTGAGGGCTTTCTGGCCAGTTTACAGGACATACCCTCCTATCTGAGGTCTGGCATAGCTCATATCACCTGGTGAGAGTTCACAGTACATGACAGTTATTTATCATGCCTTTGGAGAACTCAGTATCTTTAAGAATCGTATCTCTGGAGCAAGAAAATTAGCAAAACCAAGAATGCAAGAATAGACAAAGGCTGCCTTAATACACATTCATATTTTAAATTAACTACTTCTTGACATCTTAGTTAAGCCACAAGACTAGCACAAAATTGCCTCAGGCTTTACCTTAAAGTTTCACTGGGGTGAGGAGCAACATTATGTAGTTTGAGCTAGCAGTAATCTAGTCTGCTTGGGGTACAAGAGTCTCAGCCACAACTAAATTCGGATTCTGTGCTTTAGACACAAGTTAAAGCTGTACAACGTCTTTGTCACACTTAAATTTGGTTTATCTTAGTGGAAAGTGCTGGTGTGCTCTACATGCAAGCAATTAAAATGAAGTTAAAATCTTCTGCTTGTAGTTCTTGCTCTTGCTTGGAGGCTTCCTTTGTCACTACTCAGTCTTTCAGTATTTCCTTAGTCACACTGCAGGAGTAAGGCAACAAGAGACTAGAACTGTTCTACTACACTTGCATTCTGAGTTCACCTGAAAAGAGGCAGCCAGCAGTATGGCAGGGTTAGAGATGCATGTGCTTTTATGCAAGGACAGTCATCTCTTCAGTTATACTGGCATAGCGAAGAACAAGCTCATTCCAGCAGCAACTATGTCAGCAGACTGTAAGTGATGCCTTTTGAATCTTCTCCATCTAGATAAGTCCATTGCTATCACACAGCTTACTTACTCACTATGCAATTCTATGGCCTATTTTAACTACTGTGCAAAATGCACTAATTCAAAAGTCTTAGACTGCAGATTTATGGATGTTGCTACCCTGGAAGAAGTCCCCAAACTCTTGCCTGTATCAGTAGATATGCACCACATTTTGCTCACCCACTTTTCAATTTACTCCAGAAAGGGCATGTTAAGAGACCACTAATAGTATCTTCCTCCCTTCCTATAGGGACCATCCTGTGAAGAGCAAGCACTGATCACTCCTCAGGGAAAGGCCATTTCCAGGCACTCAACACACAGGCCTTGAAGTATGAGCTGTTACCTACTGTCTCAAGTTGGGCAACCCTCCATTCAAGCATTGTACTTAATTTCCACACAACTACCCTGGGAAAGTCAGTCTTAAGACTTTGGGCATACTGTGCTCTTGGAGTCTTCTCTGAACTCCCTACAAGGAGAGCTGTTGGTAGTGACAAGTCATCCTTGAAATACCTGTTTCTTAGCACAACTTGAAGCACATGACAAACAATTTTGTTGAGCAACATTTAGTTTCCCTTAAGAGATGTTTTCACAATTATCCCTTATTTGAGCAAGGGGTGGCAACATGGTAGCTACCCTTAATGATTATATTTTTGTCCTGTGCACAGCAGATTGAGAATCTTCATTATAGCTGTAGTCTGTCATAGGATTTAGAGACTGGACAATAACCCTCACTCAACAGACAGGCTTTTGCCCCCTCAGCAGACAAAGATAATTGCTTCAATGTTGATGAAGGTTTGTCTGAGAAGAGGTTAGGGACACTGAAAATCAGAGGCAAGGCAGATAAACTAAACATCTGCTCAGCAGTCTAATACTTTGTCCTTTTCACAGCCTGTGCTCTTTCTTTGTCCCTTGATACTGCCAGTACATGATTCAGCTTAAAGAGTTATTGAATGTAAATATTAACCTCAAATTAGAATCTGAGAGGCCAGGAGAGGACAAGAGAAGCTTTTACTGCCAAGTGCAATACAGCCTGTTAGGATGAAGTAGTAACCGGAAGTACAGCAATAGTTCAAGTGCTGAACATGCTTCCAAGGCAGGTTGTTCCCTCCCCCTGCCTTCTTGAAGAGTTAGTCAAGTTCTTCTGGTTAGAAGGCTGTATCAGGACCTGCACGATGTATCCTTAGAAATATCTCTAGACATCAAGTTCTTGACAGAAGAGCTGTTTTCAGAAGGCTGGTAAACAAGCTGTCCATTTGAGTGAAATCACAACTTCAGTTTTGCAGGCTGAGGAAATGGACTAAAGGCTAAACAGCAATACATACAATGACTAGCAAGAATCAAAGCTGCAAAGCCAGGTACATTTAGTAATAATGGACTATCTTGACTAGCAGCATTCTACCCACATTAGAAGTATAATTCAGGGGGGCATTTGTGTGAGCCCCTGTATGACTGACTTACATTTGCATCTAACAAATCCCTATGTGCATAACTATCACATTCTCTACCTAGTTCTTGCTGCAATGGTAATGCCCCAAGTAGCCCTGACAAGCGCTAGGCATGCATTAATCAGAAACATGAATGTGCTATTCAGACTTTTGCCTTTCAAACAGGGTCACTCATGCTTAGGAGTCAAATAAAATAT